AAGCACCTCACTGGGACCGTGAGGCGCCGCTTTCGAGGGGGGGGGGGGGGAGAGTGGCTTCTTCTTCTTCTCCTCCTCCTTTTCTTTCTTCTTCTTCTTCTCCTCCTTTTCCGTTCTTGTTCTTGTTCTTCTACTACTTCTTCTCCTCCTTCTCCCCTTTTTCTTCTTTTTCTCTCTTCTTCATCTTCTCCTTCTACTTCTTCTTCTTCATCTTCTTCTTTCTCCTTCTCCTCCTTCTTTCTTTCTGCCACGACATGAATAATTTGATAATTTTATAATGCGATACAGCACTTTTCTCTCTACTGGAATCACTGCCTCATCTTTATCATAATTTCAACCCATTTATGCGCCGGGTTTACAGTATCAACAAATTACATTAAAAAATACATTTAAAAAAATTTAGTGTCAACAAATCTCAAGATCCTAGCACATCTACTCAAGTTAAAGTAAAACCCCCTCACCGGTGTTTTTTTAAGTGTTTTCAGCCAATCATGAAACCACTTCACAACTACCTGAAGCCTACTTGTGAATCCTACAACCGACAAGGATCTACCGAAAGACGATTGTGAAATATACATATATATATATATATATATATATATATATATAATATATATATATATATATATATATATATATATATCCCCAAAAAAAAAAAATCGAAAAACGACAAACCAAACATCACAACTGATAAAAAATAATAAAATAAAAAGTTGGCGAAGTAACTATATATGAAGAAAGAAAAAAAACAACACCTACAAAAGCTTTAAACTGACCAATATACATAAAGCCCCAATTTTCCACCCACAAGTGTCCCCGCGGAGCAATTAAACCCTGGCTATAATTTTGCCCTCTCGTCACTGACCTCAAAGATACCCCTACCCCCCTTTCCCCGCCCCATACCCCTTATGACCCCCCCCCCTGCCCCCTTAAATCAACCCCTGACCACGGCTCGCCTCAGGTCATCCTAGGTCGGGTCTCAGGTCCCTTAGGGCAGGTAAAGTTGGGGGGAGAGAAAATACTATATAGGCCTATGTATTCTAAGGTTAAGCCTCGGGTATCGATTTTATTGCGTTTGGCTGAGAGAGAGAGAGAGAGACTCGGGAGACGAAGACAGGTTTGATAAAGAGGAGAAAGAAGGAGAAGAAGAGACAGACAAGAAAAGGACCAATAACAGAGATGGGAGTTGAGGATACGGTTAAAACAGTAGAGGTAATGTCGAAATCCTAGAGATCACAGGTGATAAAAACGCACGCACGCACACACACACAATGCACACACAACAACACACAACACACACACGCAACACACACACACACACACAGAGCACACACACCACACACTTTCATAAATACAGCCGGTCTCCTTCCGGGAACCGCTTGGGGTTGATTTAAGATTATTGTGTTTCCGTTGATGAATACACCCCCCCGCCTCTCTCTCTCTCTCTCTCCTCTCTCTCTCTCTTCTTCTCTCTCTCTCTCTCTCTCTCGTTTCTTCGGGGGTCGAGTGTTTGAGTTTTTTTTTTCTTTTTTTTTTTTTTTTTTTTGAGTCTCTCTCTTGTGAGAGATGTGGGGATCGGTCGGTCAGGGGGTGGGGGGGGGAGGTGGGGGTGGGGGGGGGGAGGTCTTCGTGTTCTTCATGACTGGGGTGGGTGGGGCGTGGAGGTGCCGGGGGGGGAGATGTCCGGGGAGCTCGAGTGCAGAGAGAGCGTGCTAGATAATTAAAGGGATAGTTAGAGAGAAAGGGAATATCGCGTCCCGGCGTAATGAATGCGGAGATATGTACTATCTAGGAGTATGTTTGTTCGTTTTGTTTTCTGTGGTTTTTCATTTCTTTCCATTGGACGATACTTGATTTTCTTCAGTTTTTTTCTAGGTTATGTGTATCGTTATGAGAAGTATGTTAGCTGCGTTATATTTCTGGATTTAAATTTTTAATCATAAACGGTCGGCTATTGATTAAAACAACAATCGGCAGAGTCCCTGACGGCGAAAACAAAAAAGAGCTGCAGCGTGCAGCGGCACCCGACGGAGGCGCGTCCCGACGGAGCGGATGCCGAGCGGAAAGGCCCTCCATGAGCGTATCGCAGTGCTTGCGTTTTAGGTTCGCTCGTCGAAGTCCCGCTTTCGCCTGCCTTTTAGCCTTCCGCTCCGCCGCAGGCAGGAACGCAAATCACGCCAACGTCACGGCGACTTCTGGGAACGGAACGACTCTCCTTTTCTCGCTTTTCCGCTCTTTCTGTGCTGCTTTCTTTCACTGAAAACTCTTTCGTCCTGTACTTTGGTTTCTGGTTCTTTTTTTTCTTTTTCTTCTTCTTCTTGTTACTCGCCTTTCCTTTTTCTTTTTTTTTTTTCTGTATTGTCTCTTCCTCTTTCTTTCTCTCTCTTGATTGTTTTCGTCATCCTTCTCTTTTCTTTCTTCTCTAATTCCTTCTCTCCTCTTCTTTTCTCCTCCCTTTTTTCTTCTCGTCTCTTACCTTTCTCTTTTCTCTCTCCTTTTCTTTTTCCCTCTCCTCTCGCCTCACTCCCCCCCCCCTCCCCCGCCTTCAATACTCATGGCTACGACCCATGTCATCCTACGAACATCTTTCTCTCCCGTCCTTTTTACTTCCCGATCTATCAAATCTTCGCAATTTCTTTGCTCTTTTCCTGTCTCTTAACATCTCAACCTCGCAGTCCGGGGTCAAGAAGCGAGGCGAGATAAGCAGAAGTCAAAGCCCGTCAAAGGCATCGACGACATGTCAAACACAAGCTGTCGACCTTTTGGGATCAAAGACATTCCGGCGTGGTCGGACAGGTCCAGCTCCACCGCACCCTACTCTACCGCACTCACACACTCACTGCGGCCGCGGTGGGATCACTTGGCTACCAATTCGAAAAAAAAGGAGAGATAGAAGAAGAAAGATATTGGAAGAAAAAATAAAACAGAGGAATAAATAGAATAAATTAATAAATAAACAATAATAACGAGAAGAGGAGAAAGCAATTTGAAAAAATAAAAAAGAAGGGAAATACAAATAACATAATAAATAATAAAACGAGAGAGGAGAAAGATTTTAAAGAATATAAAGAGAAATAAATATCAAGAAAATTGTTTCCCACCCTTTGACCCCCCCAAAAAAAAGTCAAAATACAAATACAAGTTGAATTCTCAAGAACAAAGATCGAGCACAGGACACCCACTAGCACAGAAGCCGAAGTAAAACAAATGAGGAGAGGAAAGGGCAAGAAGAGAGAGGGGGAAGGGGAGAGAGGGAGAGAGGAGGGAGGGAGAGGGAGAGAGCGAAAGCGAGAGCGGAGAGAGAGAGAGGAGGGAGAGGAGAGAGAGAGAGAGAGAGAGAGAGAGAGAGAGAGAGAGAGAGAGAGAGGAGGAGAGAGAGATGAGAGAGAGAGAGAGAGAGAGGAGAGAGAGGAGAGAGAGAGAGCGAGCGGAAGAGAGAATAGAAAGATAAAGAGAGACAGAAACAGAACAGCAAAGCAAAAAATTGATTTTTTTTAAAAACCCAAAGCAGAGGCAAGCAACTTCTCTCCCTCCCCGGCGTGAGTGACTTCACTGTTATCTGGAGCATTTTGGTTATTAACCTCCTTGTGTTACCTCCCGGTCTTCGCCTCCTCCCTCCCCTTCCTTCCCTCCCCCTCCCCACCCAATCCCTCCTAATCCTAGACCCCCCCCACTCCCCTCCTACCCTCCTAGAACCCCTATCCCACTCCCCTCCTACTCCTCCTAGAACCCCACTCCCCCACCCCCTACCTCTCCACCCCCCACTCCATCACCACCGCCGAACGCCCATAAAGCCGACCACCGATGCTTGGCAAGGTCTTCTTCGCCCTTAGCGCCGTCCCCATCTGCTTCCTTCGCCTCGACCCCGCCGCCCGCCCGTTCGGTCGAAAATCCCCAATTCTCCCTTAGGATTCCCGACTTACGCGTCCATTCTCCCCCACCCCACACCCCCACTCTTTTTAAGCGAGCAACCCACCCCCCCTCCAAACGCAGTCGGGGAAATGGGCTCCATTAAAACACTAAACGCAACAACTTTATCTTAGGCCTCAACGGCTGCAACAGGTATGCAACATTCCCCGCTTATGGCTTGCAACAAGAGATGGTGTGTGTGTGTTGTGTTTGTGTAAGTATATGTGTATGTGTGTGTTTTGTGTATGTGTGCGTAATATGTGTATGTGTGTGCGTTATATATATGGTGTGTGTGTGTGTGTGTGTGTTTGTTTCTGTGTGTGTGTGTGTGTGTGTGTGTGTGTGTGTGTGTGTTGTGTGTGTGTGTGTGTGTGTGTGTGTGTGTGTGTGGTGTGTGTGTGTGTGTGTGTTTCTGTGTGTGTGTGTGTGTGTGTGTTTCTGTGTGTGTGTGTGTGTGTGCGTGCCCGTATATGTGGCGTGCGTGCGTGCGTACGTGAGAGAGAGAGAGAGAGAGAGAGAGAGAGAGAGAGAGAGAGAGAGAGAGAAGAGAGAGAGAGAGAGAGAAGAGAGAGAGAGAGAGAGAGAGAGAGAGAGAGAGAGAGAGAGAGAGGAGGGGACATGCAAGTGAATAATAAAGAAAGCGGCAACAAATAAGAAGACCAAATAAACAAAGCGAAACAACAAGAGCAAGTAACATCAGAAAAGAAGAAAAGAGAAATAGGAAACAGAGAAGAAAAAGACAAGAAAGAGGAAGAGAGGAAAAAAGAAAAGAGAAGAGAAGAGAAGATAGAGAAGAGAGGAAAAAAGGAAGCGAGGAGAGACGAGGTTGGGGGGGGGTGGGGGGGGGGATAATGCCCCGGGGTCACTGGCTGAGGGAAGGTTAGGCCTCGGGTATGGCCAGCGCTGGACTCTCCTCCTCTCCTCTCCTCTCCTCTCCTCTC